AGAAACTTTGGTTACAGCTAAGACTTCCATGTGTACTGGGTTGAAAAGCATTCATAGTGTATTAGAGCATTTAAAACTACACAATTAAGTGGGAGAGTTTCAGAATATTAATCCAGCATTTCAAAATCAAGCCAGTTACATATATGTAACAGACTTGACACAAGATGTAAGACGCAGGAATCTCACTAAATTTTATTAATAAAAGTTGTTTAAAAATATTTTACACTATTCTCAATTTACAATTATTATAATAATTCTGTAATATAAGGATGATAAATCTGAGTCATTAAAGTTATGTTTTGGAAAAAAAAGTTATGTTTTGAAATAATATACTTCTGGATTATTGTGTCCAGTACCTGACACAGCTTCCCTGCAATGGCCCAGTTACCCACAGTAGAATTTCCCCATGTGCTCTTGGGCAGTAGGTCATCCTCTGTTTCCCATTACCGATTAAAGGACATGGGGCTCCAACAGCTTCCTATTACTAATATCTCAACACTTGGTAAGATTTCAGACTTGTGATATGTCATTATTTCTCCATATGGTGCCCCTAACATAAGAAAATTCTCTGACACAGTTCTCAAAATAAAGCCCAAGTCATTTGCACAAATGTCAAGCTTCCTAATCTCTACTTTGACATCTACAATTTGTCTCATCATCTTATTTTTCCTTCAATTAAAGTTATTTTTACATTCCCTTGTCATTTTCATGAAAGTATGGTCCACTATTACTTGGCACTAGTTTTAAATTCTGGTGCTCATTAGTACTTCATATTTCAAATTCTAGTGTTCATTGGTACCTCAGCTACTTAGTTTTTTCTGTATTTATTTGTATAAAATGACTTTTAATCTTTCTTCCCTCTTCCTTCCTTCCTTCCTTCCTTCCTTCCTTCCTTCCTTCCTTCTTTTGTTCTTTGAATCCAAGGCCTCAGGCATGCTTAACAAGCAACTCTACCACTACACGCCCAGCCCCCCTTTATTTTTTTTATAGCAACTGAGCTTAGGTGTTTTTACTTAAAAATATATCAAAGCATTCTGAATTGCTTTACTTTTCTTTTGCATTTTTATTAGGATATTTTACTTAGAAAAGATTTTGTATATTTTGTACAGAAGCTTTACAGTATAGAGGCATTCTACTATTATTAATCATCATTGCAGTACCATAAAGAGATCAGGAAAGCCTTTCCAAGAATGACACCAAAGACAGAAAATGTAAAGAAGAAATATTTTTAAAAATATGAATACCAGTAGCTAAACTGTGGAAACAGCCTAGATGCCCATCAACAGAGGAACGGATAAAGAAAATGTGGTCTATATATACAATGAAATACCATTCAGCCGTAAAGAAGAATGAAATCATGTGATTTGCAGAAAAATGGATGGGACTAAAAGCCATTGCGTTAAGTGAAATTACCCAGACTCAGTTAAATATTACATGATTTCTCTTACATGAGAAAGCTAAAATATAAAGAATAAGTAAATAAGTAAAAGAAGAGAGGACAAGAATTGAGAAGGTAGATTTCTTGAGATTGGGAAGGGGACAAACGGGGAGGACAAAGGGAGATGGGGGAAATGGGATTGAAGTTGATTAAGATATGGCAAGTGCCTATATTGACTTTCCAAAATAAGCCCCATCATCATGCAAAAACAAATCTACAATTCCTCTTGAAGGCATATAGAAATGCACTCCATACACCTGTGCAACATATCTTTGGGGAAAGTTATCACTCTATTGAATTATTCTTGGCAATATTTTCCCAATACAAAATATCAATAAAAATATTCAAATAAAGTTAGAGGTAGAATTTTTGAATATATTTATACAGTAATATGTTATGGATTTGGATATCCAAATTTTGGGGAAAAATAAATTTACACTTCTACAACCAACCAAAATACATGCTAAGCAAATTAAAACAAATTATTAATAAATCAGAAAGAAAACAGTGTGAATACATAGAAACATTTTTAGTGATAAAAATACCTAAGACAATTTTACTGGGCAAACAAAAATATGAGAGATGTAATTGAATCAAATATTACAAGGGGTTAATAATAAGAGCATGTAAAGTATCACAAATGGCCCAACAGGGAAAAGGGGAAAATTCATAAATTGAAATTAACAAAAGATGGAATACAAATGATCCATAAACATATAAAATTTTCTTCCTGAAAAACTAAATTAAAAGCCATGAGTCATCATTTAAAGCCTGTCAAATTAGTAAAGATAAACAAAACAAATGTTAGCAAAGGTGTGAAGTAAATATTTTCTAGTACTTTGGGAAAGTACTAATTTGTGCAGTGTTTCCAGAGGTCAATTGGGTGGCATGTGTAAAAGAGCCTTCTGAGTGTGTTTATTCTGTGATGTAATGAGTTTGCTTTTTGAAATCTATCCTAAGTGACAAAGGCTGTCGGCAAGGGTTTAGCTGGAGGATCTTTAGTGAAGAACTAGTGTGCCATGTCCAGTATGAGAAGGGCAGTTGTGTAAGTTGTGATAGATACCTATCTGTGCTTCATTCACAATTTTGAAGAACTACTGGTGTCTGCAATGTATATTTTGTAGCATACAAGGAGATTCCAAACATATATATATATTACATAGCCGCATTAAAACGTATACTATATGCCTTAAAAATTTCAGTGGGCCTAGTATCAAAATGTTTCCAGGGTTACCTCTGAATGACAGCATAAAGGATCATGTTTAATACTCATTTTCTTTAGCTGCATTTTCCAGAATGAGCATCTATTATGCCATTTCAAGAGTACATTACTCATGTAATAAAAAAACGCAGATGGCAGTCATGTGTTTTTTCCCTGACTCTTCAAAAATCAGAGGCCCTGTATGTAGATGGGTCCCTCCAGTCCGCACACGTCCTGAAAGTGCTGCCGCGCAGCGGGGTGGCATTTTACCACCACCTGGCCTCACCTTGCAGCTTTTGCCCAGAAATGCTTCTTCCTGGGGAAAGCAGGGCTGCAGCTGTCTTTGGTGATGTTTCATGTGGGGGGAAATTGCTTTTTATTTTTCACCTTAGGCTTTTTGTGATACAAATACACTTTTAGGGTTATGATTAATGTGTTTTAATGGGCTACCCATTTTAAAAATCAATGAATATTTTTTGCATCAAAAATAGCAGGCAATTAGATTGATTTGGATGACCTATTTTTAATCAACCCCATTATTTAGGGTTCTGAAAACTCTCAGGGCTTCTTTCTCTGGATCATTCAAGGATCGACTCTTCTCTTATTATGTGTGCATAATTTTAAACATCAGGTTAATTGATAATTTGCCAAACCTTTAAAAAATTTATTCACCTTAGAAATGCTCTAGCTTTACCCCTCCCTCTTTTTTCTTTCATCAGCCCAGGAAACCTCTCCTACCTCCCAAGCTTTCCTGGGGTGAGTTTGAAGTATACAGATGATGCTTTGTTCTGTCTTTTTTGCCGTTTTGGTGCATTTATCCTTAACTCCAAGTTAGCTTGTAAGCTATAATGTTTATCTTCTTTTAACTATTTTTTCTTTTTTATACTCAGCTACTCTCACCTTTGCTTCTAAAATTCTTACTTCTCACAAGAAAGAAGGGTTATTCATATGTCTCCTTTATTAAAATTATTTCTCAAAGAAAGAATGGCTGCTATTAAGAAATCAACTAATAACAAATGCTGGCGGGGGTGTGGGGAGAGAGGAACCCTGCTCCACTGCTGGTGGGAGTGCAGACTGGTGCAACCACTGTGGAAGTCAGTGTGGAGATTCCTCAAAGAACCAGGACTAGAGGTCCCATTCGACCTAGCTATCCCCCGGCTAGGTATATTCACAAAAGAATTAAAAGAATCATACCACAGTGATATATGTGCACCCATGTTTATAGCTGCACAGTTCGTAATAGCAAAAGCTTGGAAACAGCCCAAGTGCCCATCAACTGGAGACTGGATAAAGAAGATGTGGGT